ATGCCCATCAACCAATGACCGGATAAAGAAGACGTGGGGTTTTTATATAATGGAGTACTACTCTGCCATAAACACGGATAAGCTTGAGACATTTCTAGCTAAATGGATGCACACTGAAGACATACTCTTAAGTGAAATAAGCCAGATGCACATGTGTAAATACCACTTTGTTTCTCTGGTGTGAGAAACTAAAAGTGTAAATAAGGACAAAAATATATAATAGATATTGTGAAATAGGAAGAAAATGTTCAAATGGGAAGGGGAAATAAGGATGGAGGAGGGGGAAAGGAAGGAAGGGAAAAGAAAAAAACTGATGAGAAAAGGACTAATGGAAACAAAGTTCTGTAAACAAGGAGGGGGAAAGAGGTAGAAGGGAGGGTAGGGGAATAGGAAAAAATAGAATCAAGTTATATCATGTACAGGTATAAATTCCCTATGATGGATGTGATCATTATATATTCCTAAAATGTACCAATAAATGTAATTGATTTTTCAAAAAGTCACAAAGGATAATGATTTTTGAATGAATGAAACATAAAGCAATGGCTTGACATCAAAATACTGAGAAGAGGGTTTCCCTGGAAAATGACTATTACAGATGAAGGCAGGAGATGGGTTCTGACCCCAGTGACACACCTCCAGGCTCCATTACAAAGAGGACAGGGAAAAAGGAAAGAGCTCAGACACCCTAGGGTGCTTACCCTCAGCCACTCTTCTGAGAAACTAAGCTTTGACTCCATTTTCTCCTTAGAGGACCAAGTCTAGAATGCTCCACAGTAAAACGACAAACCTAAGCTTCTAGATAAGGGAGGAAAAGCCAGTGCTGCAGTACAAGCATCTGGGCAGACACTTTCTCTCTAACAGCAGAAAGGGAGGTGAGAACTGCCCATCTTTGTATTATACCAGCAACATCCACAGGAGCGGGCAGGCACCTGCCAAGGTGTCAGGGGCAACAGTGGGCACTCCCAGTGTGCTCCACTTTACAACAACCTCCCAAGTAGGTGCTGGAACTCACTCCAAAAACAGCTCCAAGCCACACAGGTCATGAGACTGAATCAGGTCTGAATCCAAGACACAAAACCTTCCTGCCATGCCCAAGCCGCCCTTTGTGGAGAGTGTGGCCTAACTATGCTTAAGATTCCAGGTTCAAATGTAAGCACTGAGCAAGTCATTTGAATCAGTAGCAAGTGACGGGCATTTAACTCATTAAAAATGCAGTCTTCACAATCCCACCCATTCCCTTATTGTAGACTTATTGCCTGCAGTTTCCACAGACCTTTAGCTGGCGCCTGACTGGTATTGGGACCAAGTGTCCCTGGGGATTTGAAGCAGGTCTCTGAGAGCCAGGAAGAAGGCAACCGCAGAGAGGAGAAGGGGCAGGAATGAAAGCCCCGATGCTTCTCCACATTTCACCCTCCTCTTTCTGGTTTGTTGGAGTGTTTCCTCCACTGGGAAGAGGGGCTGTTTTGGGCCCCTAGACCTGTGCCTCACCTCTGTTGCCTTTCTGAGAAGTAGGAAGCATTCACATAGTTTCGGGCTCTGTAACTCACTACGAGGGACGGCCCTGTACCCTTTACTTCTCAGCCTTCCACAGACTTACTATGTGGTTCAAATTCCCCAGATTCTAACAGGACCTTAAGCCAGACTCTCCCTGCCACAGTAAATGACATCAAAGTGGACATTAAGCACTCAGATGCGGAATTAACAAACAACCTGCCTGTGAGTTGGGCTCATGTACTTTGAAACATCTGACTCACCTTGAGACTTTAAGTAGTCTGAGGAGGGAAAAATGAGAAAGGACTAACAAAGAAATTTTCTCTGGGGAAGTGCTGTCGTGCTATTTCCCCTACCACAGTCTGCCACAGCACACTTTGAGAGCTTCAGCCATATTCCCAGCACAGAGAAGGCTCGGGGGATCAGGCCTGGCCCTGGCATAAAAGGTGAAGGCAGCCCTGAGCACAAAACCACCAGCAAACAAACTTCCCTGCCAGCCCACACCCTCACCTTCTTCCACCTACACAGCAAAGGGGCTAAAACCACAGGGACTGCGACCCGACCCGCTGCCTATCACACCAGCCTGAAGGTGGGAAGCAGAGGCAGCTGGCCATGAGATCAAGCCCAGCGTTTTGATTTTGAACTCAGGTGGGACATGATGTTTCTCAGTTGAGAGTGCGTCTGTACTCCGAAATAACAAAGGGTTATCTGTTACTCAGTCATGACCAGCAAAATCTTCAGTGGCTGAGAGTTCTCCCCAAGAGCAGTAACATCTTCACTGGTGGCTCTTGTTTATTTGGTTACGTGTTTTGATCTCTTTCAACACTTTTCATTCCCTTGCTTCAAAAATGCATTCCAAAGGGACCTTCTACACCTGTGGAGGTGAGCCCATGGCACTCATGCCACAGCCAGCTTTTTCTTCTCATTTGAAACTGCTCAAAGGTTCACCACCACTGACCTAAGCTGAATGAGCAGCACACCCTTTAGGGTACCAGGGCTAGCATCCTAATTTTTCTAGCTCCAGGTAGACAGGCAGCCTGCTTCATGGTGAGCCTGGACTGCTTGTTTCCTTTTAAGACAGGAAACTTCCACTGTGAAAAAAAAATTAAAAATAAAGGAATTTCATCCAAAACACTTCTGGTAAAAGTACAGTAGATGAAATGTCTCCGAAAGGTTTGTGAGAGCTAAACTTCATCAATTACTGTATGATGACAGCAGAAATACTGAAGGAATGTGAAGGCAAACCTAACCTGTTGTCCTTCACTTGGAATGTACCATCAAGGAATTGTTTTTTCTATTTGTTTATTTTTCTTTAGTTTTAAGAGAGGTTAAGAGGCAAAGGAAGCAGTTGTAAGAAAGGTCATTGTTTGAATGCTATGACTCTCACAAATACCCACAAAGATTCCATCCCACAATTTCAAATTGGTCCCACTGGTTTATGACCCATTAGGGCCATTTATATCCACTATCACCCTAGGCCAACTCTCTGCCATTTCCACTTCCATTTATTACCCTTTCCTAGATGGTTCTTGAATAAATAAAGGGGAAAAAATCAGCATTTTTATAAATAATTATTCCCTGAAAATATTTGAGAGACTTGAACTTATTGTTATGCCAGAAAACAACACTTTCTCATCATCAGTTAGGTTAAAAGTAAAAGAAATAATACCAAAAATAAATGAGGCCACATGAATAAGTTCAGCTCTACCAAATGTTGGCATCGTACAGAAACATTCAAAGAAAATACATCAAAATCCCACCTAAAATAGAAGCTATTGACTTCACACTGTTCAGATATCAAAAGATAAAGCCCTGCTTCTGATGGCTTTTAAACTCCAGACCTTCACTTCAAACCAGGCTTCACCACCAACGGTTTCAAAAAGCCATGGTGGTTTTAAAATTCAAGTGAAGCCTTTAGCTGAGTGAACAGCAGTGTCCCAATGTCAGTTTCCTCATGGACACAAATGTACCACAGTACAGTGACGCTTCAGTTCACAGACTCAATCCTTTTCACAATTCTGGTTGCAGAATTCATTCCCCCAGAATTACATTCGTGAACCGAGGTACGACTGTAATGCAAGATGTGAGCATGCGGAAATACTGGCCATGGTCTCGGGAAGCTCTAAACTATCTCTGTAATTTTTCTACCCATTTAAAATCACAAATAAGAAGTTTATTAAAAACAAACCAAAAGCTGTTGCTTCAAACCAGAGTCTCCAATCTCCTGAATTCTGAAGCTGCAATTCCCAAAAATACACAGGAGGAAACACAGTCAGCTAGCGATTTACTACAGACACACAGCCGGGCAGCTACACTCCAGTTAGGGGAGGAAGATTTAATGGGAATGACTGCAACAACCATGATGTGCAGGCATCGCATCCAAACATGAGCTGCTTTATGTGCTCCTGAAAGGCTGCTGGTAAATCAAACTTACATAATTCAAATCGCCTTTTGAACACACTGTGGAAGCCTGTGCATTTGAAAAGATGGTCAGCAAATACAGGGTAATGAGAATAATTTCGTTTTTATTTACTGTTTGGCAAAGGTAGCTCTGCAGGAATCTCCTCTGTCCCTAGCACTGCCCTGTGAGCCAACAGGTACAGGGAGCCCCTCAGTTCAGATTTCCAGACAGGTACTTTCCCTTCCTTCTGCCAGATCATCTCCCTGTGACTCTAGCTCACAGCTGCTGTGATGAGGCCTTCTACCCCTGCACAACAAAGGCCAGCTGTAGAGAGGATCCCAGATGCCAGGCACCATTCTCCCAACCCAAACCACTAGGTACCATCGCCACTCCCAGAAACCCAAGTCAGGAACTGATAAGCGGGTGGCTTGACTCAGGCAAGCCAAATTGGCAACACTGTCCACGATACTGGCTTCTGACCTGTGGATGAAAATGCAGAATTCTACGCTATAAGTGTAAAGTGTAAGAAACTCATCTTAAATATTTCATGAGCCAAAAAAACACAGTTCCATAGGTTTCACCACTGTGGGTATAAAAATCTCATTAGAGACAATAATAATGCTTCACTCATGAACTCTCAGATAGATTCATTAGTAATCCTGTGAATATCAGATGCCTACTCAAGATTATTTGCGTATTTATTATTATCTCCCATCACCCCCATGGAGCAGTACAAATCTTGGCCCCTTGATGTGGCCTTAGCCCTGTGACTTTGTTGTGACCACTGGCCTACAGGCTAAGGAGCAGGACTCCGGACCAAAACTCAGACCTTTTGGAACCTTGCACGTTTCTGGTTGTCCTCTTAACAACCTGTGCTTGCCTTAAGAAGCAGGTCTCCTGTGTGTCTGCCATCTCTTCACCCTGCACTCCAGAGTAAATATACATGGAGTAAAACCACTTCAGCTGAGTACAGACCCACAATCAAGACTAAATCCCAGTGCTTTAAATTGCTGGGCTTGGGGGTGGTTTTATCGTACATGATTTTGTCAAGAGCGCGGTAACAGACCCTGCCCTCTCCTCAAGTGCAAAAGCTGTGGATACTCACCATCGATGTCCCCAGGCCAGCCCATGAAGTGAGCAGAGATCTGTCTCTCGTCTTTCCCATACTCATTCTGGGCGATGAGCGTGTAGTCCCCATTGTTCATGTGGGTGGGATTATCCAGCTGGAGGCAGCCGTGGTACTCCGTGTGATTAGTAACGTGAATTTTAGTACAGATGTATTTGGACTCATTCAGTATTGCCCCATTATAGAACCACTGAAGCGCTGGCTTGGGGTTGCCTTTCACAGTGAATGGGATGCACCAGTGGTGGTCTGAGGTTGGAGATTCGAGAAATGTGATAGTTGGTGCAACTAAATTGAAAAAGAGAGAGTTAATAGCATCAGAAAGCTCAGAATTCTTCCAGTCTCCAGATTTCTGTGTCATTGATAAGGGACGTCATTCAACCATTTTGAATGTTGGCTATGTCGGAGCTGAGAAAACACATAACCAATAACTTAGGAACCCACCACTATTTTGCTTCGTATCATCACAGAGGTTAAATTAACTTCCCACAGGGAGCTTTGGAGAGACTCCCTGCTCCGCTCAGTTTAAGACCTATACATTGCAGCCCCTTTCAAAGCCTTTCTGTGCACATAAGAACCAGCCCCAGACAGGTGTAAGAGATTTCTGAAGGTAGAAATGGCTCATACGGCCTCTGCTTGGGGTTCTAATACACCGTCCTTCATATTATACAAGTTCTCCACCAAACATAAGGAGAGGTACTATTTTCATGGCACCAATAATCCCTAAAGACATCTCCCCTAAGTGATCCGGATAACAACAAACATGACTTTGATATTTTACTGATCTCATAGAACTTTTCTTTTCCTTGTTTTTTTCCTTTGGCATCAGGAATCAAACTCAAGACCTTGCACTTGCCAGGCAGACACTATATCCCCAACTTTCACATAATTTTTCTAAAACAGATCACACTGATCAAAACAATGAATGCTGATATTGATGCTATTGAGTACCATAAGGTATGAAACCTTGATTTTCTTTTTTACTGCTTGCCAATATCAAAGACTTTTTTTAAAAAGCATTGAATTGCAGGGCATGATCTGTAATCCCAGCATTCAGGAGGCTGAGGTAGGAAGATCCAGGAGTACGAGGCCAACCTAGGCTACAAAGTGAGTTCAAGGCCAGCCTGAACCTCATAGTGAGACCTTGTCTCAAAAAACCAAAAAAATAAAAAATAAGATAAAATAAAAAGCATTAAATAATAATAGGTCCCATTTTTGCTAGATTCTAGATGTCAATGTTTTGATCCTTTGAATGTCTGAGGTCTAATTTAAGCCTGAAAAAACAGACTAGAGATTATTTCATCTTTAAGTATATAGTACTTCATGCTTTTGAAAAATAAACATTCTCAAGCAGTATCTTTTAACAGAATAGTTATTTTGAGTGAAGGTATCTCAAAATCACTCATCATTGTTTATCTTAATGTGGCCTACCTTTGATAATTATTACATAAATAACTCTGAGACCAGATATCCCTGAAAAGTTTCATGTGGTAATAGGAGAGTCTTTGCAGAGGTAGGTGGATCTGGATTGTGTGATGCTGGGGTCAAAGATACATGACTACTAAATTAGTCCACCAATTGGTTTGGCATAGTTCTGAGTGTGGATAACGGGAAGACCCACCCTATGTGTGAGTGCTACCCACCCTAAGGGCGTGTAGCCTGGATAAAATGCAAGGGACAGAAAGAAGGCTGCTGCTGTTGCTTGCTGTTTGCTACTTTACTGCTTTGCTGCCTTCTGCCTTCCATGAATGGTTTCTCCTCTGTGATGCCCTTCTGCCATGCCAACCTACCTTGGAGCCAGCCAATTATGGACTGTAAACTTTAAGCACTGTGACCTACAAATAACTTTTTCCTCTAACTCTGGGTCCTGGGTATTTTGTCTCAGCAACAAAAAAAAAGTAACTAAGACAAGACCCAATGTTTGTCCTGTAAAGAAACCAAAGTCTGGTGAGGTCAGGTCAGTCGGTAAAGATTACTGAGAGAGACTGACTTGGGATGGGGCACAGGCTAATCCAGCAGCCTTCATACATGGTTTCTTCAATGTACATGTTTAGCACACAGGCTAATCCAGCAGCCTTCATACATGGTTTCTTCAATGTACATGTTTAGCACACAAAAGGAAAAAGTGTAAATCATGGAAGCCGACAGAACCACTGGGAGTGACGTCTTCCAATGGCTATCTCAGTTGTTAATATTCCTTATTCCTTCTACTCTTTATCTAAACTTTAAGAGATAAGCTCAACTCTTTAACTCTGACAATCACATAGACAGTCCAAGCATCTTTCAGGGAAAGCAGATAATCTGACGCTGCCCTCTTTGTGTTCACATAAATCATTCCAGAATTTACCAAAGAAAAAGCAAAGCTGGAAAAGAATCTAATTAACTTTTACAATCTTCAGAAAGATTTCCAGTTACCAGTGGAATTCCTCACCACTGGGCATGTAGAGTTACTTAATTCTGCAAATGTGTATTGTTTCAGGGTCCCTCACTTGAGAAAATATAAAATTACAAAATCTAAATTTGCAAAGTTTGATTGTATGCCTTACCAAATATTTCTCAAAGGCCTTCGTTAAAAAGTCTTTGGAAAACAAAATAGCTTTTAATATATAATGGATTCCCTCTATAAAAATTTAACTTAAACACAATATGGGAGCTCCATTATTTAGAGTAAGGTGTACACCTGCGTAGATGCATATACATGTAGGTCTGGTTATAAACCAGCCACAGAAGGGCCCACAGCATGGGCAAAGTCCATACTTACCTCCCATGACCCCTGCCCAAAATCCACTTATCCCTTCCACCAGTTTAGACAAGCTTTGAGTGAGGTGGTGACTTTAGGGCATAAAGCTGTAAGCTGGTTACATATGTTTGGGAATAACATTGACCTCAGGCTTGTGGGTCAATCAAAATGATGAGAAATTCTAAGTCCAGTATCCTCAAAGTGTTGCGATGATACTGAGAATGACCAAAGATCATGATTTGTGAGTTCAGTCTCAACAGCAATGTGAAGTACCTGTGTGATTTTCATTTAATACATGTTCACACTTAACGCTGCAGTCTAGTATTTGAAGATATGTTATTATATTTGAAATACCAGAAAACAACGCATGTTTATGCTTAACTAAGAAGCACTGATATCTTATAGCATAGCTTCAAGGCACCTAGAAGTTTAAGACAAGAATAATAAATTTTTTAGCAGATTATAACTCTCAGTGATTTAAATATGATGCTTCTTACCTTCTCATAGAAACTTTATGTGAAGCTAATAAAGTTGCACTGTATCAATGACACAGTCAAGTGTTGGTGAAGAGCCAGCAAAAGCTTTAGGTATCGCTACTTGAAAGCTTCACATTGTTTTTATAGAGGAAGAAGTTTTTAGAAACTGGTTTATCAGAATTTAAAATCAAAGTAAAAAGAAAATAATCAGCTCAAAATACATTCTGTTAGAAAAAGACAAGGGCGGACATAAAGCAATAAGCTCAAGATCAGAAAAGAAGCTCAAAAGAAAACGTGTGAGCAAGAGATAGGAAGCAAAAATAGAACCAGTGGAAGAGGCTGGTGGCATTTCTTAGCTCAGTAGCACCAAACACCACAATATGCTTTCCAAGCACGCTCCAATAGCACCCAGAGCACCCTCCACAGATGCGGCAATGTCCCTGATCATCTGCTACTGAAACACAGGCTGGTCCGTTACGTACAGTGCACAGTGAGGTTGACAGAATCCTGATCTTCTCCTACAAGGTTTTCTGCCACACAAGAGATTTGCTTTCCACTGTCATCGGCCGAAATGTTAGTTATCTTCAAGGAGCCCTGCGTCTGGCTTGTTTCGTTCTATGAATGAACAGACAAAAATAACTGCAATTAGGATTGATCTTGAAGTGACAAGATTTGGAGTCCTTCCCCTAGTTAGGAAAAAAAGGGGTGTGTGTGTGTGTGTGTGTGTGTGTGTGTAGAAAATCTTCTCTACCTGATCAGGCTCAGGCTGATGGAAGTTATTGCATTTCTCTATGTTCTAATTCCTAAATTTGTGAAGTGGACTTAATCCATGAGCTCCTATCTATCTCCCTGCAAGGGAAATGACCAAGAAGATAAATGAATTTCCTTGTTCATGATGACACAAAGAGCTCACTAGGGTTACAGACTCTCCATCTATTAGGCATACATAATTAAAATGCAAACATGCATTAGTCTTTGCTAATTAAAAATAAATGGAATGTAAATGTGCATCAAAAATACTTTGCAAATTTCTATAATTGAGCCTACAAAATATGAGCTGGTCATGACTGGATTTAATACAGTCTCACACACTGAAATATTCTTTGTCTCTGTATTAAGTCAGAGGTCAATCCAAGCCTTACCATATGCTTGGAAACCAGATTCCCGACATCCCAGTACATATTAGGAAGTGGATCGCCTGCCACACTGCAGGACAATGTGATGGACTTTCCTTCCTCCACAGTGAGATTAGGTGCAGCCAGATTTGCAGATGGCAACCCTACAGTAAAAGCAAACAGAAACATGTACGAGTAATTAGCTGTAGTATCAAAATAACAGCAATAAACTAAGATTTCTTCATGTTTCAAAATCACTTATTTTCTGAGACTGAAAAAGTGTTAAGTTGATATTAGTATTTAGGCTATATAAATGTAATGTAGATCGATAACTGTACAGTAATAAGACTTAAAAGCAAATTATTACACTTCTTACAAATATTATTATAGAAAAAATATTTATTTCAAAAAACCACTAGTTTACAGAACTGTGTTTTCTCCCTCGTTTTGATTCTTTAGTTACTGATCCAGTTTTTGCACGCATACATGAGCACTATACTCGTGGACCAACATCTTACTTCATTTATTTTCCCCTGCATGCTCCTCTCCACATTTTTATAATCTTTTTTTTTTTTTTTTTTTTTTTTTGTCTTTTTGAAACAGGGTCTCTCTATGCAGTTTAGGCTGGCCTTGAGCTCACTTTGCAGTCCAGGCTGGCTTTGAACTCCCAACGATCCTCCTGCCTCAGCCTCCCAAGTTGTGGGATTACAGGCACGTGCCACCACACCCCTCTCACTTTTGTATAATCATTAACATGAGGGGTGAGATGCATGTAAATGTTTTGCATAAATCTTTTTTTTTTTGCATTAAACAACCCTTATAAATCTAAGTATGTGATCTAGAGTTTGAAGGAGTCAGATTACTAAAGAAAAGTAGTTTCAAAGCATTTTTCAAAGACAAAGTGCAACAACGAAGTGTTACCATGTCTCAAAGTTATACAAATCAAAGCTAAATAGGATGACTAAAATTATCTGATTTATCACATGATAAAAATTTATATGATCCTTTATTATAATGAACACTTCTTAGTTTGAGAAACCCTATGTTTATCTGATGAAATTTTGAACCTTGTCAATATCTTTTAACCTCCCAACAAAGCAGTATTTTTATATTCTTTCATTTCACATTTGATCTTAACCAAAAGGCCAAGAAGCAATGCTCTTACATTTCAAAAGCTAGGGTTGTTTTTTTTTTTCTCTCTAAATTGATGCTGCTATCACATCCTCAAAATATCAGCCTCCTGAGTGTGCATCCTACTTTAAACCACACAAGAATCCTTATGTGAAGGCAGGTCTCAGAGGGAGCAACAGAACCGCAGGTCCTACAGTCAAACCAAGTCCTTCCTCAGTATCAGAATGTCTGCTTGCGACTATATTTACCGACAGCTGGATCCCACTGATCTATGACACATCAACTGGGAGACAACCTGGGGGTCAGTAAAGGCAATTCATCTTCAACAGCCATTAAATTGCAATTAACCCACCCACCTGGCTATAGCTGACCCTAGGCATAAACCCTTCCTGATGATGCAGTCTCTACAGACAAAGCCACTGTTATTACTGAAATCAGCCTGGACCGGGATCAGGACAGTACACATCTCCTGGTCTCCCATCACTGGAAGATCTGGCTTTGGTGGTGGCTGAGACCTCTTGGGAATTCTTCCTTCCTGTGGGATCCAACAGAGAGCAACCTGTCCTTCACAGGGTTTCCAACAGAAATGGTCTGTGGCCAAGAATTTGACTTGCACCGAATGTGAGGCCTTGGTAAGTCATTCTTTTCCTCTCTCACTGTGCTTTTTTCCATAACTTCTGTGACATTAAGTTATGCAATTTATTAAGAAGCATGTCAATGCAAAATGTCTTTGAAGTCTGTGATACTATCTGGGTCACTTCTTAAAACTAAGTATGTGGTCACACAGCTGAAAGGGTCTGGATGGCCCTCTGGCCTATTCCCAGTCACCTTTTTCATCTCTTAAATTTATTCTTTGCTATTGACCTCCATTTCCCTGAGTGTCAAGCTTGTATTGCTATTTCTAGGTCTCCCTGTTTAGTGTTATCTACTGATCTCCCACTATACACAGAAGAAAACGAGGTCACACACAAACAGAATCCCAGACTCTCCACATGCCCACTCCAGATTCAAATCTGTCTTTATATCTTTCCTCCTGCTATGAAGCTGCATTGCCTAGTTTGGGTATAGCGTTTAGTATAAGAGCCTTCCTGGCAGCTGAACCACCTAAAATGGAATAGTTATAATATTTCAACAGATTTAAGAGAGAGTCAGTTATAGGATGCAACCCTGTTACATGTATTCATGAGATAGGGAGAAACAGATGCAGTTTAATGATCACTCAATGCTTTCTTACTACTTAGAAGTACAATTATTTGAATGTTGGATGTTATCAATGGCCCATTTAGTTTTCAAACCCTTTATTTTCCATCCTTGTGTCTCTTTGCTCTATTTATTTGTAGGAACTTTCTTGGGACATGTCTTTCAAGCCTTTTTGAACATTTTTCATCCTTCTGTCACACTTTTAGTTTCCACACTTTAGTCACTCTTTTCCTTTCCTGAGTACTTTTTTCACAGTACCCTGGTTTTGCTTCATGAATGTAACATCTCTTTTGATGTCTGAAATATTAATGATAATTTCTTTTGAATTTTTATTCTGTCTATATCAATTGTTTCTTGCAGTTCTTCTTTAATTAATCTTCTTGATTGTTTTATGTTTGTCTTTCATATTCTAAACTTTCCTCAAATATTTTCGGACACTCGGTGGGTCACAGCCTTTGAAAGTGTGTTGCGTGGTTTCACTATGGAGCAATGTTGCTGGCCTCTCGGCTGGGACAACTTTGTGCCAGAATCCCTGGAGCATTCTAAGGAAAGTTGTCCAGGTCAGTGAAGGAAGCATTGGACAATCTTCCAGTGCCCTGCTTGGGTGAGGAAGAAAGCTGGAAATATCAAAAACCAGTGTGTGAAATCATTATTTTCTCTAGGGTTCTCACAGCCTCAACTCTATGTGGTTTTCCTTGGGATCCTGTTTTATCTACTTTTGAGGTTAAACCTCCAGTTTGCTGCTGAAGAAAGAGAGGCACAATCACATGGACTGTGTGGGACAAAATCATAGTTAGGTGCTTCTTAACGGACTAGCAAGCCAGTACCTTCAGTGTGGCGTCACCTGTACTCTTACATCCTGAGGCTGCAGTAATTCTGCAAAACAAATGAAGTTTGTCCCAGGCTTCCCCCAAGGCCACCTTGGTGAACAGCATTCTCAGCCTTTATGGCAGCTGCTACTCAGCCCTCTGCTTTTCTAACTTAGAACTTGTGCCTTATTGACTTGCTTCCATTTTCTTTGCATTTACACATTTTCCTGCTGACGCTGGCGAGACCACACTTATGCTTAAGGTATGGCCTCTTCCACTACCAAACACCACAGTAAGCTTCAAGAGTATAAAGTTATGGATTCCTTTTCCTGCCATTCATGCAGGTGTCTAAATTTTAGAAAGCCTGAGCAGAAAAAGGTTAAAATAAAGGGATTTCAGTGAGAATTCCTATGTCATAATCTTAATTTTCTTTTTTTATTTTAAAGAGAAAAAATAAAACAAAATTTCAAAACAAGATAATAGGAGGATAATAATGGTTAATACATTGTGTATTGTTATCTTTAAAATAGTTACTCAGAGTACAGGATATCAGCATTTAATTGCCCAAACGATATTAGCACAAAACTTTCTTTTCAATGAACTAAGAGAAATTAGTAGTATAACTATCTTAACTATCTCTCATATATATATGTATTTTTTCTTTTTGCTTTTCCCGTCCTTTATACTCTTAATTTTCAATATAGAATCTAATGTAGTTTTTCTTCAAGTTTAAGTTTATATGATTAATATCTCTAAAATAATTATATTATAATAATATTAGCATTTATCAGGCATTCACTCCTTGGGTAGTACATATCCATTTTAACACAGAATGTATGTCCATGATTTAAGAATTTGGTTCATTTAAAGAATAATCACGTGTCCATCTTGTGAAGGAAAAGTGAGACTCCTTTATTTACAGAGAAACTGTATCGCCCTGTCATAGCAGCTTCCAGAAGAATCTGCGTAACACTGGCCAAGTCTAGATCTTTGAAACATAAAGTCTCCCAGAGATGAGTAAGCATCTGACTCACGTTAATAATACAGCGTTAATGTGCTGGCCAAAGATTCAATAATGGAAAAACAATCTGTACTTGAAATATCACTTGAGGTTTAATTAGCACAATAAAAATGAATTGGGAAGCATGAATAGCCAAAGCAGGATAAACCACTTGCCAGGCATTACTTCCTGGCCTAATAAGATTTGAAATTGGGACAAGTACAGAGCCAAGCCCGGCAAGGCTTCCAAGAGCCACCAGCACTAGCACGGTGGGATCCTGAGGCTGAGCTTCCCAGCAGTCTTGTTGGCACAACGGGAAGCCTCACTGGAGATGAGAGATGACCCACTTCCCACGCAGCAGACCGCGTCACATGTCTTGAGCTGCATTTGTTCGGGAAGGACGTACATACCTGGAGACCTCAGCAGGAAAGCATTAACCCCACAGTAAAAAAGCAGACCTTTTTTAGACAGGGGCTTCCCAAATTTTAATGTGCACATGAATCACCAGGGGCTCTTGTTCAAAATGTAGCTTTTCTTTTCCAGGAGGTCTGGGTCAGAGCCAGAGAATCTGCATTTCTAACAAACTCCACAGACCACAGTTTGAGTAGCAAGGGTTTAGAGGACGGATGGAGGTTGAACAATTGTTGACTAGGTTTTTGTTTCTGTAACTGTCACTCTTCAAATGACGTGGGGACTGAGGATTTACTGAGTCCACCAAACTTCCCTCAAAGTGTATTCTAAGGAAATCTAATTCCTTGAGATGATCTGTAAGAGAAAAAGGAAGGAAGGAAGGAAGGAAGGAAGGAAGGAAGGAAGGAAGGAAGGAAGGAAGGAAGGAAAGATGCAAAGAAGAGAGGGAGGGAGGGAAGGATCTACAGGGCACTGGAGGTTCACAAGGCACACTGTCATATTAACAGCTCTGAGAAGTCCTGCAATAAAAGAACGTATTCCACTGGTCTTATACTTCCCAAGCTCACTTATCTACATTCCCTTTGTTTGAGTTGTAAGACCTCATTAATTCCTT